ATGTGGCCGGTGAAGACCTCGGCCACCTGGAAGGGCTGGGACAAGAAACGCTGGATCTTGCGAGCCCGGGCCACCGTCAACTTGTCCTCTTCTGACAGCTCGTCCATGCCCAGGATGGCGATGATGTCCTGCAGGGACTTGTAGTCCTGAGGGGACACAAGGTGGGGGTGAGTGGCCAGTGCTGGGCTTTGCGCCCCTGCCCCGCGGGGGGCTGCCCCGGCCCCCTCACCTGCAGGATCTTCTGCACCCCACGGGCCACGTCGTAGTGCTCGGGGCCCACGATGTTGGGGTCCATGATACGGGAGGTGGAGTCCAGCGGGTCCACGGCCGGGTAGATGCCCAGCTCGGCGATGGCACGGGACAACACCGTGGTGGCATCCAAGTGGGCGAAGGTGGTGGCGGGGGCCGGGTCAGTCAAGTCATCAGCCGGCACGTAGATGGCCTGGGGAGGAGGGAGGGGACGGTGGGCCCGAGGCAGCTGCCACGGCTTCCCCGCCAAGGCACAGCCGGTCCTGCCCTCACCTGCACCGAAGTGATGGAGCCCTTGCGTGTGGTGGTGATCCTCTCCTGCATGGTGCCCATGTCAGTGGCCAGTGTGGGCTGGTAGCCCACGGCGGAGGGGATTCTGCCCAGCAGGGCAGACACCTGGGAGGGAACAGAGCCCGTGAGAGGCTGCACAAGCCACCACCGCGCTCAGCACCGTGAGACAGCGTGCCGCTCTGAGCACAGACCTCTGAGCCAGCCTGGGTGAAGCGGAAGATGTTGTCAATGAAAAGCAGCACGTCCTGACCCTCCTGGTCCCTGAAGTATTCGGCCACCGTCAACCCCGTCAGAGCCACTCTGGCGCGGGCGCCCGGGGGCTCGTTCATCTGCCCATAGACCAGGGCGACCTGCAGGCAGGACCCAGGTGTCGGCACGGCGCTGCTCTGCCGCCTGTGCCCCCACCCGGCCCCGCAGGAGACCCATCACACCTTGGAAGTGGCGTCTTTCAGGTTGATGACCCCAGACTCAATCATCTCATGGTACAAGTCGTTGCCCTCACGGGTTCGCTCCCCCACGCCAGCGAACACCGAGTAACCACCGTGGGCTTTCGCCACGTTGTTGATCAGCTCCATGATCAGCACCGTCTTGCCGACACCAGCACCTCCGAACAAACCTGGCAGGGAACAGGAATCCTGCTAAACCCCAAGCCGATCCGGCTGCCCCTGGTGTCTCCCTTCACCCCTTTCCTCCTCAGATCAATAAATGTTGCTTCAGCAAGCTCAGAAGAACGAAAGTCAAATGGTTACTCATCAGCGAAGGAAACTACTGCAGATGGATCGGTCCTGAGCCTCAGCGGGGCTGGCAGGGTGCCCCCCTCCCCAGACATGCCCCCAATCCTCTGGGGGCAACATACCGATCTTGCCGCCCTTGGCGTAGGGAGCCAGCAGGTCCACCACCTTGATCCCTGTCACCAGGATCTCCTGTTCAACGCTCATCTCCACGAACTCGGGGGCTTCGGCGTGGATAGCAGCAAACCTGCAGCAGGAGGCGGAGAGAGGAGCTGAGCAGCTGAACCAAGGCTGGTGCTGGCAGGAGAGTGTGCGAATGCGGTCCCTGCTCACAACCCAGGAGAACAGCAGTGTGGCGGGGACGTGCCACAGCCCTAATCACACATGTGTCTGCTACTCCATAACCCCCACCCCCATCCCCACCTCCCAACCCCGCACAATGCTCGTTTCCTGGCCTGGAGCATCACTCACTGTTTCGTCGTGATGGGGCCCCTCTCGTCGATGGGTTCCCCAATGACGTTCATGATCCTGCCCAGCGTCTCAGGGCCGACGGGGATGCGGATGGGTGCACCAGAGTCCAGAACCTTCTGTCCTCTCACCAGGCCTTCTGTCCCGTCCATGGCAATTGTGCGCACAGTGTTCTCCCCTGCCAAGACCCAAGGACATCGTCACAGCAGCGCCCTCGAGCTGACCCTGGAGTCAGCTGCTGGTGGCTTCCCCAGGCCCTGCCAAGGGAACAGTCTGCTGGGAGGAGAACCGAGAAGAGCAGTGGGACCCAGGGACAAAGTATCACAGAGAAAAAATGAGCCCATGCCATGCTCAAACTGCAGCCTTGCAGGGCCAGAGCCCTCTGGCAGCCATTTTCCTCCTTCTCAGATTGAAATCCGTGGCTTCAGCAAGCTCAGGAGAACGAAAGTCATCCAAATACATCATCACAGGAGGACCCCTCCCACCCTCTGCAGCCCTTCTGCAGCAGACGCTCACCCAGGTGCTGGGCCACCTCCA